GGGGGGGCTGGGGGGCTCTATCGAGAGGCACGCGCGTGTATCGCCCCTCCCGTTCTGCAACCCCCTCGGCGCGAGGTCGGGTGGGGTCGCGGGCCGGGTCAGGTCAGGTCAGCGGGCCATGAGGTCGTCGACCTATGGGCGAGGAGGACCTGCCCCTGCCGCCCGCGCCCGCCCTCTACCACCACCTTCAGGGCAGTGGAGGTCATGGCGGGGGGAGGGGTTGGTGCTTCTGTTTATCCCCCCTTTGAGCCGCTCGCTCTCTGCCTCTGCCTTTGCCTCACCCTTTGTCAATATTTGACGATGGCTGATGTTGCCCGCGGCCCCTGCTCTCCCCGCCCCGTCGGCCAGCAGCCTCTTATCGGGTGGAAGTGGCGCAGCTGCGGGGGCGGCGGGGGGGATCGGCTCGTGTATTTTATCTTTTTACCTCTCCTCCCTGGGCATGCTAAAAGGGGGATGGGGGCGGGGGCGATCACATCAGGTCAGTGCAGCCCTGCTCCTTTGTGGAGGTGAAGCGAGGGGATAGGGGGAGTACTCTGCTGCTTGTCGCCGTGTGCTCCGGGACCCTGCTGCACGTGTGAGCGGCAGGAAGTGAACCCTCTCTCGGTGCAGTGGGGGGTCAGAGGACAACGCCGTGCGCGCGCGCGGTCCAGTGCAGTCAGCCAGCCCCAATTAAGGGGGCAGCAAAGTCCTCTCGTTGTATCTGCGGACGGCATCTCTCTCTCTCTCTCCCTCTTACTCCGTGAGTCGCAGCAGCGGGGGGTACACCGGTACCCGTGGGGCCGCCGCCGCCGTGCTTGCTGCAGTGCGCTGGACTAATGCCACGGCTTCACAGGGAGCGGTCCGGCGGGGCAGGGCGGGGCAGGAGGACTTCTCTTCCGGCTCGGCTATCTCTGCGCCGCCGCCGTGTCGCTGTGAGCGCGCTGACCTGCCCCTGCCCCCTACCCTGCCTCCCCCTCCCCCAACCCTTTCCCACCGCCGGTGATATCGATGCTGATATCGTGGCTGTGGGCGATGCTACGTCGGGCCGCCCATTAGCCCAGCCTCCCCCGTGCAGCAGCGCCGCGCGCACTCCCCCGGTGTAAGCCTGCCTCGCCCCGCTCCGCCCCGCCCCGCCCTGCCCCACCTCGGCTTACCGTTAGCGGGCGGGCCGCGTCCACGTCGGGTTTCAGTTAATGGACCTCCCCGGGGGTGGCCCAAGCCAAGCCCAGTCGCCCGGCCGGACCGGACGTCACTGTGATTGATCGCATTTAGGGGGTGACGGGGCGACACGGCCCGCGGGTGACCGGAGGGTGACACTTCCCCTAAAACGGATTGTGGGGCGGGCGAGCGCGGCGCTCTATGGCCGCCCGCCCTCCCGCCCTCCGGGGATGCGCCCTAGTTGCTTGCTCGCGGAGGGGGTGGCCCTGCACCACACCGCCCGGGGCCGGGTGGGTCTGGGGGTGGCGCGGGCGGGCCTAGCCTAGGCTGGCCCGGTTCGGCTGAGTTTGACCCAGAAACGAGCTCTCGTGTGGGGGAGGGGGAAGGGCTACGCTGCGCTGCACCGCCGCCAGCAACCCTTCGGCTGATCGGCTGGTCCTTAACACGTGATCTACAATGTTTTCACGCTCCCATGTTAAATCATAGACACCAAAAAAATGACCCACAAGGAACGTGTTGAGGTGGCTAAGCCGTGGGGAGAGCGAGCTGGAGGTTGGAAAAGCTATACCTCCCAACCTGCTGGGAGTGCGGGTACGCGTGCCCGCGGCCCGCGCACCTCGTGACCGAGTTTGACGACACGGACGGGTGGACGAGAAGCCAACCCGCCCGCCCCGCCTGGCTCGACACTGCCAATCAAAAAGCTGCTGCTTGTGGCCGCGATGGGAGTCGCGCTAGTGGTGGCGGCGCGCGGTCACAGCTACCGGAACTGGGTCGTTCGGGAGGGAGGGGG